TAGACATATTAACAAGGTAAAAAGAAACAAATGAAATTAATTTTAATAATAAATTGTGATTAACCCGATATATCCAAAACATTCTCATTTCAACATATAATCAATATAAAATGACTAAGATACTTTATATTCTGTTTTTTAGGCTGAGTCTTCAAAATTCAGTGTGTATTCGACACAGCACATCTCATTTCAGACAAGTCATACTTCAGGTGCTCAATAGCCATGAGTGGCTAGTGGCTGCCATATCAGACAGTGCAATTCTAAACAATGAGCAAGCCGATAAATACTGATATAATACATAATAAAGATATATATAAATAGGCTGGGCATGGTGGCTCACGCCGGTAATCCCAGCACTTGAGAAGCCGAGGCAGGAGGATCACTCGAGGTCAGGAGTTTGAGACCAGCCTGATCAACATGGTGAAACTCTAAAATTTTTTGTCTCTACTAAAAACACAAAAAATTAGCCAGGGGTGGCGGTGGGAGCCTGTAATCTCAGCTACTCAGGAGGCTGAGGCAGGAGAATTGCTTGAACCCAGGAGGCAGAGGTTGCAGGGAGCCGAGGTTGTGCCATTGCACTCCAACCCAGTAACAGAGCAAGACGAGAGAGAGAGAGCGAGAGAGAGAGAAAGAGAGAGAGAGAGAGATAGAAAGAGAGAGAGCGCACAGAGAAAGAGAGAGAGAAGGAAGAGAAAGAAATAAAAAGAGAGAGAGAAAAAGAAAGAAAGAGGGAGAGAGGGAGGGAGGGAGGGAAAAGAAAGAGCCTGGGCACGGTGGCTCATGCCTGTAACCCCAGCACTTTGGGAGGCCAAGGCAGGTGGAACACCTGAAGTTAGGAGTTCAAGACCAGCCTGACCAATATTGTGAAATCCCCTCTCTACTAAAAATACAAAAATTAGCTGGGCATGGAGGCATGTGACTGTAGTCCCAGCTACTTGGGAGGCTGAGACAAGACAATTGCTTGAACCCAGGAGGCAGAGGTTGCAGTGAGCCAAGATCATGCCACTGCACTCCAGCCTGATGACAGAGCAAGACTCTGTCTCAGAAAAAAAGAAAGAAAGAAGAAGGAAGGAAGGAGAAGGAAGAGGAAGGCAGGCAGGCAGGCAGGCAGGCAGGCAGGCAGGCAGGCAGGCAAACAGGCAGGCAGGCAGTCAGGAAGGAAGGAAGGAGGGAAGGAAGGATGGAAGAGAAATTAATCCTAAATGTTACTACCCCCATATCAGCTTGGCCTGACTAATTGGCTCCCTTCCCATCCAGGCTGCCATCTCTTCATGTGACGTGGTTGTGCTACTTCATTACGGTAGCCTTTTCGCACCTGTAACAGTGCTCTCCACGTTTTGGTTTCATCTCCAAATAAACATAGAAAGTTTTACCTTAGAGGTAGAACTACATGTTGTTTCCAACATTTTTGAACTTGGTCTTTGTGAACAGCTTTTGGTGCCAGAATCTTGTCTTTTCCGGCATTTTGTCCTTTGTCCCATGCCCAGGTCGTCCCAGCCCTCTCTTCTTACAGTTCTCTTGGCACTGACAGGCAGTAGCCTAGATGTGGGTACACATTGGTACACATTGCTCTATTCAGCTGAAAATTTGCATGTTCTTTTGTTGACATATCACATTATATACTGAGACAGGAGAGAACTAAAAGATTCTGAAGGATTGAAAGAGTTTTCTGCTGCAGTAGCAACAGTTCAAATACCATATTAGTCAGAGCAAGTAATGCTAGCTGCTGTCACAGACAAACCCAAATCTCAGTGGCTTAACCCAACTAAGAGGTTATCTCTTATTTGCCTCACAGACCAATGCAAATTGTTGGTGATGGCAGGGGTTACTCTGCTCCATGTAGTCATTTGAGGACCCAGGCTCTTTCCATTGTGTGGCTCCACACCACCTGGGAATCCTCTACTCTTCACCTGGTTGGTATACAAGGGACAACAGAGGAAGAAAGAGAGAGAGAGAGAGAGAGGTTTTCTAGGTCTGGCCTGGTCACAGTACACAGCACTTCCCTCCACATTCCATTAGCCAGAACTCAGGCTCACAAGCCTAAGAGGCTGCAAGGGTGTCTGGGAAATGTAGTCTAGCAGAATGGCCATGATGTGGAGCCCCGGCAATCCCTTCCACAAATACGGTTTTAATACATTGTGGAAATCACAGTTTTGTTCCATGCTGCACAGCTAAGTGAGCCAGGGGTGATTTGAAAACCATAAAGAATGGATTTGTTCCTAGGCAGACACTCTGCCTTAAGTTGCTTTGCCAAAGAATTATTTAAATCCCAGCATCTGAGAGTCTAGAGAAACTGGAGAGTTATTTGTTATGGTTTTCTAGTAGTTGTATGGTTTCCTTTTCTTTTCTTCTTTTTTTAAGAGACAGGGTCTTGCTCTGTTACCCAGGCTAGAGTCCAGTGGTGAGATCATAGCTTACTGCAGCCTCAAACTCCTGGGCTCAAGGAATCCTCCTGCCTCGGCCACCTCAGTAGCTAAGACTACAGGTGCACACCACCACACCCGGGTAACTTTTAAATGTTTTTTTGTAGGAACAGGGTCTTTTTAGGATGCCCAGGCTGGTCTCAAACTCCTGCCCTCAAGCGTTTCTCCTGCTGTGGCCTCCCAAGGTGCTGGGATTATAGGTGTGAGCCACCAAGCCTAGCCTGGTTTCCTTTTTTATGTGTAGATCTCTGACTCATTTGGAATTTGTTCATGTGTAAGGAAGATATGAGGTGTGGACCTTTTTCCAAAGATCTTTTTCCAAACAACTTACCAGTTGTCTGGGGTTATTTGTTTAAAAATCCACCTCTGTCCCAGTTTAATACTAAATTTCTATACGAGTGTGGGTCTATTTTTAGACTTTCTATTCTATTTCACTGGTCTTTTTGTCTATTTATGTGCCAGTAGCACACTGTTTAAAACGTATGCTTTCATGTCTGGTAAAGCATTCTTGCCTATGAGACATTAAAGGCTCTTCTTGCATTTTTAAAATAAGAGCTTTAGTATCAATTATCTAGCTCCACAAAGGAGCTTGTTGCTATTTTTACTGGGATTGTTTAAAATTTGTAAATTAATTTAAGTAGGACTGGCATCTTTCTGATGTTGCCATCCTGTCCAAGAATAAAGAATGTCTTTCCATTTGTTCATATATTTTTGTGTGTCTTTCGGGGGGATTAATATGGGTTTTGCATATTTCTTGTTAAGTTTGTTCCTAAATATTTTATCTTTGTTGTAATTGTAAAAGAGATTTTCTCTCCCTTAATATTCTCTAACCAGTTATTGTCCAAACATTAAATTCATTTATATTTCATTTATACCTCATACACAGCCTGAAGGTGATTTTGTACAATATTTGAAATAATTTTTTTTTGAGACAGAGTCTCTGTCACCCAGGCTGGAGTGCATTGGTGAGATCTTGGCTCACTGCAACCTCTGCCTCCTGGGTTCAAGTGATTGTCATGCCTCAGCCTCCTGAGCAGCAGATGCATGCTACCATACCCCGCTCATTTTAGTAGAGATGGGTTTTGCCATGTTGGCCAGGCTGATCTTGAACTTCTGGCCTCAAGTGATCAGCCTGCCTCGCCCTCCCAAAGTGCTGGGATTTGTCATGAGCCACCATGCCCAGCCAATATTTGAAATAATTTTGTGCATGAAGCAAAGCATGCATGCCTTCAACCATCAGAAAGCAAAGGGGTTACTTTCTCAACCACCCATGTGGACACTGCAGCATCATTATAGAACTCAAAAAGTTTCAGATTTTTGATTTTTGGATTAGAGATGTTCAACCCATATCTTATAAATTTTTATTTCTTTATTTTGAACATCAGTATCTTCAGCCTGTGATGTTCCTAAGAGACACCTGAGTAGTTATCTTAGAATACAGATTCAGATACTCCCTTCCCCGTCCAAGGCTACAGGAGAATGTTAGGGAAGGAGGAGAGTTTTGTGGTGCTCTGCATCTCTGGTCAAATCCCATTGGTCAACCCCCAGGCTACAAACAGCACAGATACACGAGTCACAGAGAGTGGGGCTGGGCTCAGCAATGGGCTCAGCACTCTGTGAGTGATGGAATTGCCTGCTTGAGGGGACTGAGAAGAGAACCACCTCTCAGCAGTAGAAGCAAGGCATTGATGTGCAAACTGCACAGAGGCTGGGACTGCAAATGACAATAGCAGCCTTGGGCAACCAAGCTGGAGCTCCAGAGAAGAGCTGAGCACTAGGAAGTGAGAACCTTAGGGTAAGCCCCCAAAGATGTTCGGACAGTGACTTGAGACCCCTGTAGTTGCTTACTTATTTATTTATTGAAATGGAGTCTCACTCTGTTGCCCAGATTGGAGTGCAATGGCATGATCTCGGCTCACTGCAACCTCCACCTCCTGGTTCAAGTGATTCTCCTGCCTCAGCCTCCTGAGTAGCTGGGATTACAGATGCCTGCCACCATGCCTGGCTAATTTTTTTTGTATTTTTAATAGAGACGGGGTTTCACTATGTTGGCCTGGTTGGTCTCGAACTCCTGACCTCAGGTGATCCACCCGCCTCGGCCTCCCAAAGTGCTGGGATTACAGGTGTGCACCACCTCACCTGGCTGCTTATTTCCATATTCACATGTTTACTCTTGGACTTCAGGTGCAGAGGGCTGTGCTAATTACCCTCCTAATTTTGCACCACTTTATATGGTTGGCTTAGGGATGGTTGTTTTCTTCTTTAATTTTACTTCTATTTTTCTTCTTTCTTATTTACTTATTATTTTATTGTCTCCTATTTACTTAGTACTATTATTTTTATTATCTTTTATTATTTACTGTTTTGCTATTTTTTACTTATCATTTTCTGTATCTCTGGATTCCTCCCCCATGCTCCTTCCAAGCAAATTCAACCTATCTATTCTGTTTATAGTTTATGTTTTTCAATAAAATACTTTTTGTTTGGGATGCCTACATTTTTAAATACATCTAAGTGGACTGTGTTGTTGATTTCATTCTGTATTTCACTCTGGTCCCCTGGCACCCTGTCTATAAGAGCCATCCTATTGTTTTGAGTACTTCTGACCTTGGCTTCCAATTCTGCATGACTTTCCATGGTGTGTCTAACATATCATACCTTCCACTCCCATGGAGATGGACATTCAGGACACCTGGACATCCAACCACAAAGAACATGCTGCCCCTCTGGACCTGCGTGAGAGCCGGAAAGGGAGACACCAGCCATGGGGTTGTACGCTGACCTCCATGGAGCTGTGGCTGCCCACCCCCCAGAGAGGTAGGATGTTACCCAGAGTGCCCACCTGCCAGCACTCCCACTGCTGAGCTATCCATGCCCTAGTCCAGTGCAGCCTAGCATAGTTTGCTATAAAGTGATGTGCCCATGTTATATAATTGTGCCTTTCTCTGACTGCTAATGATTTTAAGCCTCTCTTCAATGAGCATATTGGCTTTTTGAGATTCTGTTTGTGTCAATTCCCTATTCATATCCTTTGTCCACATTTTTATTTTTGATGGAGTCTTTCTCTGTTGCCCAGGCTGGAATGCAGTGGCACTATCTTAGCTTACTGAAACCTCTGCCTTCCAGGTTCAAGAGATTCTCCTGCCTCAGCCTCCTGAGTAGCTGGGATTACAGGGGCCCGCCACCACGCCCAGCTATTTTTGCATTTTTAGCAGAGACTGGTTTTACCATGTTGGCCATGGTTGGCCAGGCTGGTCTCAAACTCCTGACCTCAGTTGATCTGCCCACCTCGGCCTCCCAAAGTGATTAGAGGTGTGAGCCACTGCCTACTGCTCCTGACCTATTTTTTTTTCCTCTATTAGGATAGTTATTAATTATTCTTTCTTGTTGATTTTCAAGAGTTTCTTATACCCTTTACAAATCAGTTTCCATTTGTCTTTGTCAAATATTTTCATGACTTCTTTGTCTTCTCCAATGCCCATGGTGTCCTTTATAGAAAGGAAATTCTTGATTTTTACATAACCAAATCTGTTTATTGGCCTTATGGCTTTTGTTTTAAATTTATTTTTAATTGACAAATAATAATTGTGTGTTTTGTTTTGTTTTGCTTTTTTAGAGACAGAGTCTTGCTCTGTCACCCAGGCTGGAGTGCAGTTGTGCAATCTCAGCTCACTGCAGCCTCCATCTCCCAGGTTCAAGCTATTCTCCTGCCTCAGCCTCACAGTAGCTGGGACTATAGGCGCATGCCACTATACCCATCTAATTTTCATATTTTTAGTAGAGACAACATTTCACCATGTTGCCCAGGCTCATTTCGAACTCCTGACTTCAAGTGATCAGCCCGCCTCAGCCTCCCAAAGTTCTGGGATTACAGGTGTGAGCCGCCATGCCCAGCCAATAATTGTGTTATTTATGTGATGTTTTGATCTACGTATTCAATGTAAAAAGATTAAGTCAAGCTACTTAGCATATCTATTACCTCACCAACTTATTTTTGGTGACAATAAAAATCTGTTTTTTTAGTAATTTTTTTTTTTTTTTTTTGAGATGGAGTTTCGTCCTTGTTACCCAGGCTGAAGTGCAATGGTGCGATCTCGACTCACCACAACCTCCACCTCCTGGATTCAGGCAATTCTCCTGCCTCAGCCTCCTGAGTAGCTGGGATTACAAGTACGTGCCACCATGCCCAGCTAATTTTTTGTATTTTTAGTAGAGACGAGGTTTCACCATGTTGACCAGGATGGTCTCGATCTCTTGACCTCGTGATCCACCCGCCTCGACCTCCCAAAGTGCTGGGATTACAGGCTTGAGCCAACGCGCCCGGCCTTTTTTAGTAATTTTTACAACACATTATTATTAACTGTGGTCACCATGCAGTGCAATAGTTCACTAAAACTATTAGGCTGTATTCCTACAGCCTAACTGAAACTTTGTAGCCTCTGATCAACATCTTCCCTTTCCCTATTCTTTCCTCTCCCTAGCCCTTGGCAACCACTATTCTGCTCTCTGTTTCTATGAGATCGTCTTATTTAGATTCCACAAATAAGTGAGATTATAGAGTATTTGTCTTTCTGTGTCTGACTTATTTCATTTAGCACAATATCCTCAAGTTCCATCCATGTTTTCACAAATGACAGGATTTCCTTCCTTTTTAAGGCTGTACTCCATTGTGTGTATGTATGTACCAAGTTTTCTTTATCCATCCCTTCGCTGATGGGTATTTTAGGTTGCTTCCATTTCCCGGCTGCTGTGAATAATGCTGAAAAGAACACAAGAGTGCAGCTATCTCTTGACATACCTTTGGATTTAAATTTCCTATAACATACACCCAGGGATGAGATTGCTGGATCATAAATGTTTTTAAATTTTTATTTGAGAGGTTATCCCCTTCACCTGAGTAACTAAAATATTTTCTACATTCTCCTCTATTAACTTTTCAAGTTTGTCTTGCACTTTTAGGTCTTTAATCCATATGGTGCTAGATAGAGAGTTGGCTTTATTTTCCCAATACCGTTTACTTAACCATCTGCCATCTTCGGCTTTTACTCTTTTGTGGGGCGATATTAGTGATTCAACTAGATTCATATCTGCATTGAAAATACTGGAAAAAATTATACACATGTTCTGAAGTTAATTTGCTTGTTGTGCCCAAATTTAAATCACCCATTCAATTATTTTGGTTGTTCTTCATTAATCTCTTTAGTAGCTTCAAGCCCTTTTAGATGTTGTGAAGTAACACCAACATCCTGGTAAACTAAGGTTGCCAGATTTAGCAAATAAAAATACAGGATCCTCAGTTAAACGTGAATTGCAGGAGAATAATAAGTAACTTTTTTAGTATAAGTATGTCTGCCGTGGCACAGTGGCTCACACCTATAATCCCAATATTTTGGGAGGCTGAGGTGGGCGGATCGCCCGTGGTCAGGAATTTGAGACCAGCCTGGCCACATGGTGAAAATATGTCTCTACTAAAAATACAAAAATTAGCCAGGCATGGTGGCATACACCTATAATCCCAGCTATTCAGGAGTCTGAGGTAGGAGAATTGCTGGAACCCAGGAGACGGAGGCTATAGTGAGCAGAGATGGCACCACTGCACTATAGCCTGGGCAACAAAGCAAGATTCTGTCTCAAATAATTGTAATAATTATAAGTATGTCCTATGCAACATTTGGGACATACTTATACTTAAAGGTTTTTCATTGAATATTTGAAATTCACATTTGAGCATTCTGTATTTTATCAGGTAACTCTATGGTACATCCAACCCAAAGGAACCTGTCCCACTGAGCCCTCCCCTACCTCTGCACCATTCCCCCCAGTTCCTGACCTGAATCCTTCCAAATACCATACCCTTAAATGAATATCTCAGTACTTCACTAAGGCTTTAACTAGTGAGGCGCTTTTTCACTAGCATCAATCATCACACTGATGCTCTCAAATGTTAACCTGCTAACAGGTCACCTGGAACCTTGTTAAAATGCAGACTGTGATATAGTGTGTCTTGGAAGTGACCTGATTTCTGTATTTCTAACACGCTCCCAGGAGAGGTCTATGCTGCTGGTCTGGGACCTACATTTTGGTAGGAGGGTTTTGCACATATCCCTCGGGGTTCTGGCTATCAAACGTGCAAGTTGTTGGGAACCAGAGCAAAGCCCATCTTACCCTCCCCGCTGCCCTACCCCGTGCTACTTTTCCTAACACTAAAGCCCCAAATTGAGACAAGAGCCCAAATTAAAGGAAAACAAGCCTGCTGCACACATGCAGGTAGCTCTCCCAGAGTCCTCGCAAGCCCTCCTCCTGCTGTTGAAGCTGGATGCTCCCACCACTTGGCTTCTTGTGGGAACCATTGCTTTACGCCTGTGTCTCCTCCACACCCACTCACCTGCCTCTCTGGCTGTGATGATCTTGTCTTCTCATCCCTCCTCCTTGTTGGATGGCAAATAATGTGAGGGGAGGGGCGGTGGTGTGATCTCCGTACCCAGCATCTAGCTCAACAGCCAGCACGTGGCAGGTGTTTAGCAGATGCATGGAAGCTGAATGAATGAAGGAAACAGTAAATGAATGCTGACTTCTGTTGTCCAGACTGTCCTGGAAACAATTTTTGGTTTCACTTTTAAGGGGTGCCTGTAAAGCATTGTTTGGCTGTGACCATTGGTGGAGCCCCTACAGAGTCCTTGGACATTTTCCTCTTTCAGTTTCTCATTTTTCAGTTTCCAAATCCTCAAGTACAGGGCAACATCTCATCTTGTTTCCTTGACATCCCTTTCTCCCTTAGGGACTTCAGTGTGCCAATTGCTTGGCTTGACAGAATCCCTATTTCCCCTTCTTCCTGCTTCTGAAGGGGACTTCTGTTCCTCCAGAAACCTCTTTAGCAGGCCTCTCCACTAACATTCTGCACTGCCATCTTTCTACCTGCCAGGAACTTTCACAACGGCTGAGTCAATAGGTTAAGTAACAGAACTGGCTTAACTTAAGCTGGCTAACTTAAGCCAAAAGGGACTTTATTGGAGGCCTTTTGTATAGCTCATCTGGCCACCTCACCTGGCACATGTGAGAATGGGGGAGCCCTGGCTGTGTGCTTGGTTCACAGTGCTCTGCTCAGGAGTCCATCAGAGAGGGAGTCCTGTCGGCCTTCTCAGGCCCTGGGCCAGCCCTAGGCTGGGGGAGTCACTTTGATTGACAGTTGCTCCAGGAACACGCAGTCATGTAGAGTTCCCTAAAAGGAAGTACGACTGCGGCTAGAAAAGAGAGAGTGTTGCCTAGTGTTTCAAAAACAAAGAAAACAAATGTCCACATAGACCTGCTACAGATTTGAAGGCTAGGAGAGAGGCCTGTGGCAGAGTGTGAGTCAGAGACCCCAAGTGTCCTAATTCCTGGTTTCCAATTTCTTTTCATACCTGAAACACTAAGAATCCATTGGGAATGAAAGGAGGTAATGTAAATAGTACCCTTGTTCTCATCTGGATTTGGTTGCCAGGTTACAACTTGTTCCATAGCCCTGGACAAGTCACCTCATCTCTCTTGTCTCAATTGCTTTGTCTACAAAATGATACTTTTAGACTAGATGATGTCCTAGACACCTTTTAGCTATAAAGTACCCCCCCAAGGCTTTCCAGTTTTGCTTGATATACAAGGAAATGTGCACTTAGCATTGTATAAGGTAGCATGGCTTTATAGGACACACGTTATCAGGTATATAGTGCTTCCAAAGCAGTTTAGAGGGAAAGTTGATGCTGTTTCCCAGATAAGAATATAGTTCATACATAAAGCATTTACTGTATGGTGAATATTGCTCTAAGCACTTTAACATGTTCATTCTTTTAACCTTCATGATAATTCTGTGAATTATATGCTCTTATTACCTCCATTTTACTGAAGAGGAAACTGAGGTGCAAAAAGGCTAAGTAACTTGCTCAAGGCCACAGAGCTTGTAAGTACAAGAACTGGTTCAGCCTAGGGTCAGTACCCTTAACCAGCACACACAGTGTAGCTTCTCTGACTCAAAGTAGCCAATTAAAAAACAGACCA